CCTGCAAAAAAAAAAAAAAAAAAAAAAAAAAAAAAAAGAAAAAGAAAAGAAAGAAAGAAAGAAAAGAAAAGAAAAGAAGCAAAACCAAAACAAACAAACAAACAAAACAAAACAGCAGTGAAGATTGCTTAGGCTCTGAAAATAAATGAGAACACCACAAATTTAAAAATGTGGGAGAGAGGTAATTAGGACAGAACTGTCTCTGGGAGTAAATGCTAGCCAGAACACCACTGCTAACGGTCACCAGGTCAAGACTGAATAGAGGCAGGAGTGTGAACCAATGGTGAAATGCTCCTGAAAGGAGAATCAACAGTTTAGGCTTTACTAAAAGCCCTCCTACCATGGAGGTGGCTGGGCATTGGCAGCATCCGTTTTTACATGGGATAATAATAAAAAGATGTTGGACTACTCAAAAATTCAGTTCTCAAAGAGATTTCACCTCTAAACACTTGGGCTGACATTTTTATTTCTGTGGAGTACCCCCTCATAATATCAGCAGTCTCAGTAAACACAGTGCTCTGTTGATGGATTCTCTAAACATTCTCCGGAGTTTGATAAAAATGCTCCTTGGAGAGATGACTCCCTAATCTTCTTATGTCTAGGAACTTTACAGATGTTCTTTCCTTGAAGTATCAGGGACTGAACCTAGGGCCCTTACACTGAGCTACAACCCCAGCTCTTTTTAAATAATTTTTTTTGAGACAGGATCTTGCTAAGTTACTATATTGCCCAGGCTGGGTTTAAACTTGCAAACCTCCTGCTTCAGTCTTTGAGAGTGCTGGGATTGTAGGTCTGGCTTCTAGGACTTTTTTACACCCAGTTCCCTCTGGGGTTACTGAATGTATGATATGACCTCTTGGAGTTCCCAAACTCTTCCTTGTTTGAACCTAATGAAGTCATTATCTCCATTGGAAAACTGAAGTTGCAAATAGGCAACTTCAGAATGAGGCCCCCAAATGACATACCTAACTTCTACTATACCCCACTGGCTTGCAAGGATTCTGCCACTTTTCAACATTGCCACACTGCTTTATTTTTTTGTTTTTGTTTTTTGTGTGTGGTGGGTTTGTTTTTTGGTGTTTTTGTTTTTGTAGTGGGGATCGAACTCGGTCCTTGCACTTGCAAGACAGGCGGTGGAACCACTGGGCTAAATCCCCGGCCCAACATTGCCATACTGAGGGCTAAGCTTTCAACACATGAACTTTCTTTTTCTTGTGTTGATGATGGAACTAAGGGCCTTGCATCTGCTAAACAAACACTCTACCACTGAGCTACATCCCTAGCCCTAGCACATGAACTTCCAGGGCTCACACTCCAACCATGTCCAAAATCACACCATAGGGCTGGAGATTTAGCTTAGTGGTTCCGCCGTCTGCCTTGCAAGCGCAAGGACCCGAGTTCGATCCCCGGTACCAAAAACAAAACAAAACAAAATCACACCATTATGGATCCAATTATCTATAAAAGAGTAACACAAAATAGTGTAAAGAGCCAGTTGAAGTCAGGAAGGTATTGCTAAACTTCTAGGAACAAGGTGACAAACTGAACTCTAAGTTTACAGATCATTTCCTGAACTGTCAGGAGGTGTTAAATCAAATGATATTAGGGCATATTGCTCCCCTTGCCTTAGGCAAATTCTTCCTTCTGGAGCATAATGAAAACATGACTTAGCAATAAGTTCTTGGTGATTTATCAGAGAACGGGATATTGGATTTAAATTTTTTCAACCAAAATTTCTATTACAAAAAAACCATTTTTTGTTGTTCTTTTCTTTCTGAAAAGCAAGGATGTAGAGTGAACAGAGTAAAGTCTGAATGGGACAGGTGAGATGTTGCTTTTGGCTGCAGAATTTGGCATATAGCAGTGATATATACAAAACTGTGTTCGATTTTGTAACCAATCAAAAAATCTTCTCTGGGATAGGGGCACCACGCCTGCCTAGCAAGTGCATGATCCTGAGTTCAATTCCTAGTACCAGAAAAACAACAACAAATCTTCTCTGGTAATATAGGAGACTCTCTCCTTCAACCTGTTCTTGTCCTCATTCCTAGTCTCCTTGGAAGTCATTCCTTTTGCTGTTAGTGTGTGTTTTTTGGTGTGCCTTTATAGTCTTTTAATGTATACAAGTGGTATGAGTCATTTGGATTAAACGGCACCCAAATGAAGAGATTTTACACACAGGACAGACTTGTGCACTTTTTACACAAAAATTAGGTTTTCCTTCATAGAATTTCTAAGAACACTGCCTACACTTTGTGAAAAATATGTAGTATTCGCCTAAAATAAGTAGAGTTTATTAATTTCATGCACCTTTTCAGGGCAAGCTAAGAATAAGGCCACTGCTCTCATCCCTTGCCTGGTTTCATCATATTGCGTGCACAAACACTATAGGTGTACACAGAAACTCAGAATGAAATGAAGACTGTGTTCCCTCCGGCTTATGAAGAGTTGTTTATTGATTAATTTTATGGTAGGGCTGGTCTGGAAACCTTTGTAACAATTGCAGGCTCTTAAAACATTGAAGATTTGAATGCCTCCATTTTGAAGGACATTTTCTCCATGTGGTGAAATATACGAAGAGTCTTGATTAGAAGATTACTGGACTCAGGACTTCACTCTATCTTGTTCACAGCATCACTAAGCATATTATCCATAAGCTATTAACTGACTACACATTATGTGACACACCGGACTTATGGAATTCACCAACATTCTTCCTTTTTTAAATTTTTTTGACTCATTACGTAGTTCAGGTTGGTTTTAAACTCACTATGTATCCCAGGCTAGCCTGGAACTTGAGGCAATCCTTCTGCCTCAGGCTCCTGGGTGCTGGGATTATAGGTGTGTGCCACTACACCAGGCCATTATTTCTTTGACATATAGTGGCACTCCAGCTTTAACATTCTGTGAGTCTCAGAAATGTGACTCTCGGATGACAAGATGTTAGTTGAAGTTTAAATCTCATTTATAATATAAGTTAAAAATACCCTCTCTCTTTTTTGAGACAGTCTCACTAGTTCACTCTGATCCTCCTGCCTTAACCTTCCAAGGGCTGGGATTACAGGCATGTGCCAGCATGCCCAGTTTCCCCCCAACTTTTTTTTTTTTTTTTTACAAAATTTAACATTAGAACTTCTCTTTTGGAACAATCCTTTAGGACTTGATTTTTGTAGGAATTTGAACTGTAAAATAGAGATTTATTCTGCATCTACTCATGAAAATAGAACACAAAGATGCTAATGCTGTTTACTTATCCTTTTAAGGATATAGATCGATAGTATTTTCAACTAGATCTCTGTCATCTAAATTATGGTTGATATAACTAAGTAATAGATATACTGTAAAACCAATAGATCTTGGTTATATAATAAAATATCAATTTAATGGCAGTCTGAATCAATTATGTTGAGTGCACCTTATTAATAAAAATATCAGTGGATCCAGTGTGAAATTTTGTAGTACTGAACGTCAAGCCTGACTGTTAATTTTGTTCTGTAACTTTAAGTAAATGTATGATAATGTTCTTGAGCTGTCAACACAATGTATGTATTTTGTGAACTATGAATTTTCTGCTTAAATGTTACATGCTGTAGGAATTACTGAGCACTCCCTATATATCAGGCCTTAAGCTAAGAGCTGAGAAATGAGCACCGGCCTCAGAGTCAGTCCAGAGGTGACTGTGTGTTGGGTAATAAAAGAGAATGAACAAAGGGTCACTACAGGGAACTGCGTCTTCATGGAAGAGGCAATGTTTGCACTGTGTGTGAGAGGCTGAGTAGGAATTCAGTGTGCAGAGAAAAGGCCATCATGGACAAAGGAAATAGCACATTAAAAGCCAGAAAGACATGGCAGAATTTAGTGTGGTTAGGGTTGTGAGAATTCTGTCTAGGCTAGAAACAGGGTGTGTAAGGTAAGGAAAGAGCAGCCCAGGTGGGAAGCAGCTGCACTTACTTGGAGTGGGGCCAAATTTTAAAAGGCTTTGAATGCAGCAGTAAGGAAATTTGGTCTTTGTCCTGAGGGAACAGGGAACGTCTGGGCTTGTAAGGTTGTGACATAACGAGATCCATAGTAACTGTTACAATGCTGTCTACAGTAGTCACTTAATACTATGTCTCAGTTCTCTCAAACCTTGAAATGTACATTCTCATTAGTTCTCAAAGGAGAACTGTAAAGAGAAAGAAGTACAAGCAACCAGAAGCAAAGTTGGGAACCTGTGATTAGTTGTAAGACCGAAGTAGCACTTACAAAGAGAGCTCCCTGCTTCTTCGTGCCCTTAGTAATTTTCAAGTCTACTTCCTGGAGGGGCCTGGCCATTAGCTCTCCGTTGCTTCCCTCTCCTACTCAACAGGCTCATTACATCTTTTCAAGTGCTCACAAACCACCTGTACCACATCCCCCATGTACCCGGCCTCGTATTGTCCAATGCACCCAGACAGAGTCAGTCCCACATCAGCAGACTGTAGTCATCACCAGTTTCCCTTCCTAATTTACTAGCCTCTCTTCTACCATCTCACTTAAGGCCAGAGGGGGTTTTTTTTGTTTTGTTTTTGTGGTACCGGGGATCGAACTCAGGTCCTTGCACTTGTGATTCAGGCCACGGAACCGCTGAGCTAAATCCCTGGCCAGAGTTATTTTTAATGCCCTCGAATCACAGGAACATACTCATATGTCTAAGACACTCATGAATCATTTTATAAAACAATTCTGGGAGGGAAGTACAGTTATGATTTCATTCTGGTACAGATGAGAAAATCGAAGCTTAGCCAAGGAACAACTTTCATTATGATCCCTCCTGTTATTAAGATACAATTAGGACCAGAATTAACATACTAACTCTGGGTCACCATGTTATTTCCCAAATATTCCTGGCAGTTCCTAAGCATTCTTTCTCCATTGGAAGTCAAAGCTCCTCTTTTCCACATGACTCAAGTTCCTTAATTCCTGTGGATTTTATGCCGGACTCACCTTGGAGTAACCTTCCATCTGCTTCTATTCTGCAGGATGATCAGGAGCCACTTGGATTTCCTCTCTTTACTCTTCCAACTTCTGTAAAATCTCCAAACTCCTTTAACCCTCAGAGTCGGTACAGGTGGAAGCAAAGGTCTGTTCTAGTGTACTGAGGCATACATTAGTGAGAAAACCCACAATAAAATAGCAGTGTCTGAAACCCAGTTACATTTTGATTATTACATTCACTCTAATCCATGCAAGATTTGACAGAGAGTATTTCCTTAAAGGAGATTTTGACATATATCATGTACATGTTATATGAAAATGATTATCTGTACTCGAAAAGAAAGCGAAGAGAGCTGAAGAAACTGGAATCAAAGGGAAATGAAGGTGAAGCCACTAAATGCCATGTTTTGAAAGACTGAGGTTAAAAATCAGAATAGAAGAAAATCACCAAAAGCAGCTCTTTAGAACCCTGAAGGGGAAGGAGAAAGTCCAACTAGGCCACTGAACTAAGAAAGCATTAACAACTGGACGTGGTGGCGCACGCCTGTAATCCCAGCACTCGGGAGGCTGAGGCAGGAGGATTGTTGAGAGTTCAAAACCAGCCTGAGCTACACAGTGAGTTCTAGGTCAGTCTCAACTACATAGTGAGAGCCTGTCTGAAAACACACACACACAGAGAGAGAGAGAGAGAGAGAGAGAGAGAGAGAGAGAGAGAATATTAACAGTAAAACCTTACAGGCCCTAAACTTTTAGGAGGTCTGGTGTATCTGTCTTTAGCCAGGTTCCCCTGTAGGTACTTTATTCATGCCAGACAGATGTCACCAGATAAAGACAACCATAGACTCATATCTCACACTTTCCTTGAGAAAAGAATGACATATACCAAGCAAGTGAGCTTCCTTCACTCCATCTGTGAGACTAGTCTGGAAATGTTACCTTGAAGACTAGGATGGGGTGGGAGCTTTTCTTTAACTACTTTAAACAAAAAGATGGAGAGGACAGATATGATCAGCCCTGCATCCTTCCAGCTTCTTTGCTTTGGGCATCATAAAAAGCAAAAAACAAAAAAGTGATTCAGGAGTCTAGCACTCTGACGCCTTGGGCATGTAATAAATTTTGCTTAAAATTTTGCCAGTTTAGAAAATAAAAAATAATTAAAGGTGATTCAAGCTGCATTCTTTAGGGAAAACCTTAATGTTGCCCCAGAGATGTAGTCTAGCAATTGAACCAGCAAGTAATACCATTTTAACATTCGGAGGTTCCTAAAATGATTCCATATATCAAGAGAAAATCTCATGTCCAAGCACATGGGTATATCTGATATACATTATTGACACTGCATGTTTTTAAAGATTCATATGGGCAGGGTATTGTCTCAAAGAAAGTTCTAGTAGAAGATGATCTTACAGGAGTCCCTCAACTTTATTTTACACAATTACCTATAGGAAAAGAGAAAATAGATTTTATTAGTGTTTTGTTTATTTTATACCAATGCTGGTTTGCTCCACTTAGGTGCTAATCTCTTGCTCTGCAGCCTCTATTTTTCTTTCTTTGACCCGTCTCCCTCATATATGTTATGTTTAAATTCCTATTATTGCAATCACACTTTAATTTCTTGTCCTGTCCACCACCTCCCTCCAGCCTTGTTTGCTGCTTCTTGTCCCTGAATGTGGCTAGCTTCGAATGGAGGACTTTGCTGAGTGGACAGCACTTAGTTCTTTAACTTCTGATCCTGTGAATAAGATGACTTGTTTTTCTTTTTACCTGCTCATTTTAATGATAAGACACAATATTCTCTGGGAAGGTAAAAAGACACTTGTAAATACTGTTCTTCATGCCTCAGAATCTGAAATCAGTTCATGTCAAATGACATAGTCTTTGAGCTGTGTGACTCAGTATACATTTTAATTCACCTGTTTTTGTCATGCATCTTGTTTACTAGTAATGAGGCAGAAAGCTATATGTCTCCTCCTTGTGGTTCCTGTTAGTGGCTATCTTTTTTTTTTTTTTTGGTACTGGGGATTGAACTCAGGT